CAAGGGGTTTGGATCTGTATTCACCAGGGAATTGGTGAAGAGTATCTCAAGGCTACCGAGGGAAGGGAATTAGCACTTTGGGAGTGGTGGCAGCGGACCAGATCTAAGCTGGTAGTTAAGCTTAGAAGTTTTCATTCAGGCTCCCACATTTGTACCCTAAAGTTCAGAGTGGGGAAGCAGCCTTGACAGATCCCCTCAATTCATTGTTACAGCCCATCAGCTGGAGTTGAAGCTCTGTGTGGTTATTGCTCCACAACCTTGTGAACTTATATTTTCTAGTCTAGTTGTTGTGCATATAGTTGATCATTAGTAGTTAGTTAGTTTAGAGTTAGTATAGCGTTATTTTTAGTGGTAGTGCCCCCCCCCCCGCCTGGTGATGCCCTCAGCAGGGTTCAAGCAGTGCCCTTCGTGTGGGGCGATGCCCAACACTGACCCCCACATGCAGTGCCTGCTTTGACTTGGTGAAGCCCACCTGAAGGAATGCTGCTCGATCTGTCATTTGTTCAAGAAGAGGACTCAGGTGGCGCGGGACCTTTGCCTGAAGCAGACCTGCTTGAGCAGCCCATGATTCCTGACCTGGTACAGAGCCCTTCCTCAGGTTCCGAGTCCTTCCTCAGGCCGCATATCACCCTTGGGCTTGGAGAGAGAGCGGCTTCCCTCAGTTCTGGGGCTGGGTCACCTCCAGAAAGGCACAGAAGTAATTCTATGTCGTCAGTACCAAGAAAGAGGTTGCATAAAAGCAACTGGGGATGTTCCGGGTTCTGAAGTGACTCTTCTGCCTCCCCTAAGAGCTCAGACCAGCTCAGTACCAACTCCGGCATGCGGGATGGCGTGGAGACTTCTGACCCTCCCTTGATACAGGGTAGGGAGAGCAGATCTACACCCTGTCGTCCCTTCAGCTGAGGGTTACAAATCAGCAAACCCTGCTGACCAAATATGACTTTCTTAATTGGTTAGTTATGGCTAAGTTTGAGAAGCAGTTGCCTGAGACCTCCCGGGATGAATTTCAGGAGTTTGTTGCTGAGGGCTCCTTAGTGGCAAAGATGGCCAGACAATCTGACCTCAATATGGCGGTCACTTTGGCCAGGGGGATGGCCTAAGCTATTACTATGAGAAGGGTTTCTTGGCTCTAGGACTCAGGGATTGCGCTGGATGTTCAGCAAACAATTGAGGACTTGCCGTTTTGATGGCTGAACCCTATTCTTGAACAAAACAGATTAAACCCATTCTGTGCTTCACCCCCTCCTAGTGAAAAATTTTTTCCTAATATCCAACCTAAACCTCCCCCACTGCAACTTGAGACCATTACTCCTTGTTCTATCGTCTGGTACCACTGAGAATAGTCTAGATCCATCCTCTTTGGAACCCCCTTTCAGGTAGTTGAAAGTAGCTTTCAAATCCCCCCTCATTCTTCTCTTCTGCAGACTAAATAATCCCAGTTCCCTCAGCCTCTCCTCATAAATCATGTGCTCCAGCCCCCTAATCATTTTTGTAGCCCTCCGCTGGACTCTTTCCAATTTTTCCACATCCTTCTTGTAGTATGGGGCCCAAAACTGGACACAGTATTCCAGATGAGGCCTCACTCATGCCGAATAGAGGGGAATGATCATGTCCCTCAATCTGCTGGAAATGCTCCTACTTCTACAGCCCAAAATGCCATTAGCCTTCTTGGTAACAAGGGTACACTGTTGACTCATATCCAGCTTCTCGTCCACCGAAACCCCTAGGTCCTTTTCTGCAAAACTGCTGCCTAGCCATTTGGACCCTAGTCTGTACCAGTGCATGGGATTCTTTCTTCCTAAATGCAGGACTCTGCACTTGTCCTTGTTGAACCTCATCAGATTTCTTTTGGCCCAATCCTCTAATCTGTCTAGGACCCTCTGTATCCTATCCCTACCCTCCAGCGTATCTCCCACTCCTCCCAGTTTAGTGTCATCTGCAAACTTGCTGAGGGTGTAATCCACGCCATCCTCCAGATCATTAATGAAGATATTGAACAAAACCGGCCCCAGGACCGACCCTTGGGGCACTCCGCTTGATACCAGCTGCCAACTAGACATGGAGCCATTGATCACTACCCATTGAGCCTGACGATCTAGCCAGCTTTCTATCCACTTATAGTCCATTCATCCAGCCCATACTTTTTTAATTTGCTGGCAAGAATACTATGGGAGACCGTATCAAAAGCTTTGCTAAAGTCAAGGAATAACACATCCACTGCTTTCCCCTCATCCACAGAGCCAGCACTTTTCTAGGACCTTTCCCCAGAATACCTTTTGAGGAGCTGCTGCCCCTCAACTGCTGCTCTCAAGCAGCTATTTTGCAGCTGTCTGCTGTATCTCCTTCTTTTCCAGCTGGTAAGTATTCTTATCTCCTGTTGTACTTACTCTAATATTTCTGAGGGTATGGCAGAATCTCATAAACTTCAGTAGCATCTGTGAATTTCATTGTGGTGATGTTTACTCTTACTAATCCACAGCAACACACTAGAAACATTCTTCTAACTTAATCCTTTGTATTTATTGTAACTATTTGTATAAACCCTTCAGTTAACATAAACCCAAACCAATCTGAACAATTTGTAAAATTTGGCTGCCAAAATTTGTTGGTTATAGATCCATGCTGCTAACATCCAAACATGTGTATCTGATATCTGTGTCAAGGCTTCAAAACTGATACCTCGAGGTTTGGGATTGGCAATATCTTGCTGTATTATCTCCTGGTTGTTCTAATCTTACATATACACTTAAAATGTGGCTTTCTTTATATAGGAATTAGATACAGTGCTTCTGTCAGCTAATTTCTAAGTTATTATCTGCAAAAAATTAGAGTTTCCAGTTGCCTAAGTAGTCCCTTGAATCACAGTTAAAGTTGCACCCCCCCACCAAAATCTGAAATGGCACCCCTGCTTAAGTCTCTCCAGCTGGCGGATTGAAATGAAAGTCACCAATACCCACACCTTCAGGGATAGTCCCTCCCTGAGGTCCCAGCAAAAGGGGGTGGGGTGGTACCAGTCTTAATGTAACAGGTTTGGGGAAATTGATCTGGCTGGATCTCTGTGGCAGGCTCCGCCTGTCTGTCTTACCCTGGTAGTCCACTGTACTCTCTTCAGGGTTGTGGTGAAGATCTCCTGCTTAGTAGTTCCCTCTGCAGCATACTATCTGCTATTTAGGGCAATCTTGCTCCTTTCCCCCCATTGACTGCCAGGTCCTCCCTTTTAAAGGTCACCTCCCTATCATGCATGACAGACAGGGCCAGATGGTGGTGGGGGCCCTTCCTATACACCCCATCACAGTTTTGGTTTGAATTGAGAATTAAGACACATGAAGATTCAGAGTTTCCATACTTGCTTTAAAGCATTTTCAAGTTGCTCATGTAAGAAATGACAAATATGGATCTTTCGGGTAGGAATTTAATCACATTGAAGTATTTTTTCTTTGTTCTACTTGAAAGAACAGTGTGTTGAAACTCACTGAACCTCCTTTCAAGAGCGTTAGTGTTAGATAGGAAACAAAATCTAGACATGTAATTTGTGTAAATATATTATGTCTATATATTCTAACTAGGCAATCCATCTAGGTTTGTGAAAAAATAGAAAAAGAGAAGAACAATACATCATCTCACAGATTACCTATCATGTAACTTAATTTTTTATTTTCTAGAACATGAATTTGCTTTCGGATGCTCGCTCTGCCAGAGTGTACCGTGATGAGTTAGACGCACTCCGTGAGAAGGCAATCCGAGTTGACAAGCTTGAAAGTGAAGTCAGCCGATACAAAGAGAGGCTACATGATATTGTATTCTACAAGGCTAGAGTTGAGGTATATTTAAAACAATTCTTAATCACATACAATTTGTTGTTTTTTTAGTAAAAAAGAAAAAAAAACGTATTGCCCGTTGATATTGCTTTCTCTTTTTTTTTTATTTTGACAACGTGAAAAAAATGAAGACTTTAAAGCAGTTTGATAGATTCTTGCACTGCAATATATTATTCTATCTTGTCTGATTAATGGTCGTTTTCAAGATGAGTGTTCAAACATCCACCCACATGGAGTTTCATTTGAAGTCGGCAAGACTCTCTGTTAGTGACTGGGTCCATCTATGCAGACCTACTTGCAGGATCAGGGTCTATAAGCAAACATAAAGAAGACATGGGAAACACGGAGGAGGGAGTTAGCTTGAGATTTATTTTAAGTTTAATTTTTCATTCACTTCTTTTGGGCATCATGGGGGAAGGAAGTTTTCAGGAATGATCTGAATGAGGAAAAGAAGGTGGCCTGGTGAACTAGGATTAGGAGGGTATTTCATGCATAAAACATGGGGAAAGACACAGAGATAGAATTGAAGAGACATTTCAAATTCTATCATGGATTAGAAATTGGTAAGAGACAAAAAAGAAACCAAACTAAGAATAAATAATCAATTTTCTACATGGCAAATGGTGGGATGCCCAATTACCTTTACTAAGGCCAGGACCTTTGTCTGGAAATGGCAGGTGAATGGGGATGTCACAAAATTTGCACAGGGTGCAAAATTATTAAGGGTAGTCAAAATCAGAAAAGTCTGTTCGGAACTTCAGAGGAACCTAACAAAACTAGACAAATTGGCAGATCACATTAAATCAATGCAAGGTAATATTTATTGGAAGGAATAATTTGAACTATGTTGCTAAGTTGAAAACTAACTCTGGAAAAAGATTTAGGTTTCATTTTGATATTTCACTAATGTCCTGTCTTCATTATGAAGCAGCAGTCAAAAAAAAGTGTTATTCTGTATAACATACAATATAAAATACTGTAACTTTTATAATGACATTATATAACCTGATGGGACATCCTTACCTTGAAAGCTGTGTTAAGTCTAGTCACTCAACTTGAAAAATGATATAACAGAAAATAGAAGGGGTTTTACAGACAGATGATAAAGATTATTAGAAACATGAAAATACTTCCATATAAAGAGAAATTTGGGAAAAATTAGGAACACTAAATTTAGAAACGGATCAAATAAAAAGTCACATGACAGAAATATGTAAAATAATGTATGATATAGAGAAAGTCAGTCTGATACTACTCTTTACTCTTTCCTTTCATAGAGAAATGAGGGAATCAATGAAATTGCAAGATAACAAATTTGAAACCGATGAAAGAAAATATATTTGTATGCAGTTCATAATTAAGTTATGGAACACATAGTCAGATATCATTGAAGCCAAGACCTTAGAAGGATTCAGAAAAGGACTAGACATTCATATAGACTGGAACATTCACAGTTACATTAGATAGGATAAAACATTTTTGAAGAATATAAAAACCATATTTAAAAACATAAGATAGCTACTAATTGATGAGAGTAGAAAAAAAAGTCCCAATAAGCAGATTATTGCAAAAAGGACTTCTATGGGGAATTGTTGTTTTTTCTTCTGAAGCATCTGGCTGGCTACTGTCAAAAACAGGACAAAACTGTTCGGATAAGGTATGGCAATTCCTATGTTGTTCTGTTTTCATCTGGCTAGGAGACTTAATATTTGTAGATGATGATTTCACCTTGTTAGTACATGCCTTTTTCACTTCACCTTTTGATTACAGCAACACTGTTTACCTGGATATAAAAGCATTAGCCTGGAAAAAACAGCATTTGTGCAGAATACAGCAGCTAGCTTCCTCAGCAACACCAGTTACTGAGAGCGTATCATCCCATATTTCACTACCTGCAGAAGACCACATCAAGTTTAAGGTCTCTGACCTTGTTTTCAAGATATTAAATATGCTAGGCCTGGAACATGTAAAGAACCACCTTGCTCTCTGTGACCTCAACTGCCCTGAATAACTCCATTCCTCAGGCACAGTGGGATTGTGCACAGCAAAAATAATATTTTTTTAAAACATACTGTGTACATGCAGTCTTTCCTCCTGAGGAGAGCAGAGTGGAGAAGAACTCAGCATTACAGGTGATAGTCACGCCTGTAATTATTTGTAGCTCTGGAAGGCATTCAGATTCCACATTGGTAGAATGGTCTTTGGTAAGCACAAGGTTCAGTATTTTGACCTGAGTCTGTTCCATGTGTGATAAACTCAGGACCGACAGCTGCAAGGGGTGGGGTGGGGGGGGAGGGTAGAAGACAGTCCCAGAAGGTTAAAAGGTCCTCCTCCCTATCAACTGAGGAGGGTCAATCAGGTTCAGCTGAGAAAGGGTTACCAGAGAATCAATTAGGATCAGCTGAGAGGGAATTACCTGAGGTTAATTAGGATCAGCTGATTCCAACTAAGGACTACCTGAGACCTTTTTAAACCCTCCCGTATTGGGAGAAGAGGAGGAGAGAGAGAAGTCGTCACGCTGTCAGTAGGTTAGGAGCTGCGAGACAGCGAGCCTCACCAGGAGGGGAGGCTGCATTCCCTCCCATAAGGGAGAAAAACAAGCACAAAAGACTGGTGGAGAGAAGGAACGGACTTCCCCTGTGCAACCAAGAGGGACTGTTTTACCCAAGCCTGTCTCACCACGGCTAAAAGCAGCTGAGGCTGGTGAGACCGAGAAGGTGCCTTGCCACACATGGTGGAATGCGAAACAAAGAGATGTGGATAAGGAGGTGGAAGGATTTGATGCATTGTTGATGTGAAACTTTAAATCCTTGGGGAAAGAAATGTATGTATTCATTTAATTAAAAAGTATAGATTAGTTTTGATATTTTGTAATGCTTTATAGTATATTTGCAAATCTTCTGTAATATAATTTGTAAATGTAGAGAAATCTTAGTAATACGAGACCTCACTGTTGTACTCTGCTATTAAATCTTTGCTGAAAAGTTGGAATTGACTTCTTGATTTTGTGTGTATGAATTATAGGGTGTACCAAAGTGAAATATAGTTAGGTTCAAATGTAAGAGAACAGTGAAGTATTGTTGTAGCCATATTGATCCCAGTGTATTATGGAGAAAAGGCGAGTGAGTTAATATCTTTTATTGAACCAACTTCTATTGGTGAGAGAGACAAGCTTTCGAGCTTACGTAGAACTCTTCTTCAGGTCTGGGAAACTAACTCAAAGGTCTGGACTACACTACAGACCTATATTGGTATAACTATATCATTCAGAGGTGTGGATTTTTTGCACCCCATAGCAACATAGTTATATCGACCTAGCCACCCCTCCCCCGCCCCCGGAGTAGACAGTGCTGTAGCTACTGCCTCTCAAGGAAGTGGATGAACTATGCTAATGGGAGAACTCTCTTCTGTCGGCATAGAGGGTCTTCATTAAAGCACTACAAATGGAGCGCCAATGCAGTATTTTAACTGGAGATATGACCAAAGTGTCATTGCTAAATACAAGATTTGAACAGATTATTTAGCATAAATAGCAAACACACATTTCAAGGAACTGTTCAAAGTGAAGTGGCCTGTTAACACCCCTCCAGTTATAGGGAAGAAAGGAAGGAAGGAGTGGAGAAAAAATCAGTTGGGGAGGGTTGTTAGTGGGTAACAGATTGTTGTAATAAGCCATAAATCCTGTGTCTCTATTCAGTCCACGATTTTTAATGTCTAGCAAAGTTGTGAATTTAAGCTCCCAGGCTTGCCTTCACCAAACATGGTCATTCCACCAGAGAAGTAGATTGCATCATGGAATGGACTGAACAAATACCCTGAGAGAACCTACTTCAATACAGAAATAATGCCCCCTCCGACTGCACATCCGTAGTTGTCACCTACCACCCTACACTGAAACCCATATAGGGTATCATTCAAAAACTACAACCCATACTCAATGGGCACCCCATTCTGAAAGAAATCTTTGATGAACCCTCCTTCAAACAACCACCCAACTTCTCCAAGTTCATCGTCAAAAGCAGGTTCCCCACAGACCAGGACACACCAACTCAAAGCAGCAGCACCATACCCTGCCAAAACAACAGATGCAAAACCTGCAGACATATCTCCACTGCTACAATGATCATAACCCCCGACCACACCTTTCAAGATCCATGTCTATCACAATATATGGTGTACTTCATCCAGTACACTATATGCCCCTATAACAATTATGTGGGTGAAACCAGACAATCACAGGAAAATGATCAAACACAAAAACACCCTATCACCTGTGAGTGAACACTTTTCCCAGAGAGATCACTCTATATCTGAGCTCTCAGTCCTCATCTTGAAAGGAAGCCTGCACAACACTTTCAAAAGACGATCCTGGGAGCTTAAATTCATAAATTTGCTAGATACTAAAAATCATGGACTGACTAGAGACACTAGAGACTAGAGATTTATGGCTTATTACAACGATATGTAACCCACTAACAACCCCTCCAGCTGTTTTTTCCCCCCATTCCCTTCCTTCTCTATGACTGAAGGGGTGTTAACGGGCCACTTACCTTTGAATGGTCCTTGAAATATGTGTTAACTACTTACGTTAAACATTCTGTTCAACCCCTGTGTTTAGTAGTGATACTTTAAGTTAGGCTTGTTCTACACTACATGTGTACTTTGTGGGGTGACCAGATGACAAAGATAAAATATCGGGACACGGGGGGGGCGGGGTGAGGGCGGAGCAAAAAAAAAAAAAAGTCGGAGCACCCCCACCGCCAGGCGGCAGTGGCACAGCCCTGTCTCCACCCAACTCTCGGCTCCGACCCCCGATACACCCCCAGCTCCCCTATCCCCTCGCTCCCAGGCCCAGCCTGGGCTCCGAGCTGTGCAGCTGAGCCGTGCACCAGGCCCCTCCTGCAGCTCCCGGCCCAGCCGCTCCCGGGCTCCGTCGCACCTGCCCTACAGCAGAGGCTGCTCCACTCCGCCCCGCCTGGAACACTTGACCCGCAGCCCCGGGC